GTGAATGCAATGTGGAAGCTCTTTTGAGTCCCCTCAAAAGTCACCTCAATTTTTTCGACTCAGAAGTCACTTCGTGCTGCTCATGGCACCACACCATGCCATGCCATACCACACCAAGTCGTGGTGGTCACCGCGTGAGCGCGACGTGGAAGCTTCAAGCGACTCACATTCTTTACTTTGCGTCGTGCCAATCCGATGTGTGCTTCCCTCCATATATGCTCCCCCCTGTGTGTGCCCCCCCTTGTGTGTTTCCCCCCCTGTGTGTGTCCCCCCCTGTGTGTGTCCCCCCCTGTGTGTCCCCCCTTGTGTGTGCCCCCCCCTGTGTGTGCCCCCCCTCTGTGTGTATCCCCCCCTATGTGTGTCCCCCCCTGTGTGTGTCCCCCCCTGTGTGTGTCCCCCCCTGTGTGTGTCCCTCCCTGTGTGTGCCCCCCCCTGTGTGTGTCCCCCCCTGTATGTGTCCCCCCCTGTGTGTGTCCCCCCCTGTGTGTGTCCCCCCTTGTGTGTGTCCCCCCCTGTGTGTGTCCCCCCCTGTGTGTGCTTCCCTCCATATATGCTCCCCCCTGTGTGTTCCTCCCCCTGTGCGTCCCTCCCCCCATGTGTGCACACAAGTGCAGGGGGGATGAGAGCAACAAGAGCATCAGGCACCAATGCTGTTCGGTATGCCATTATCATCCCATGACACATGCCTTCCCATGCCATCCCATGCCATCATCCCAAGCCATCATCCCATCCCATGCCATCACATGACATGTGTACTGGGCCCAACAGCAGGAGAAATTGGCCATGTGCCGTGAGTTGCTTGGGTTGGGTGGACTTCGATTTCATAAAGGCAAATTTGTTTCATTCTCCAAATACTAACCTGTACACCCACTTATTCGTTTCATGCACCAACGATTGTGCCACCGGCTTGGTACGTTCACATAGAAGGTTGGGAGTGATGTGTTTATGTCACATAGAATCAATTCAAACGCGTGATCAGCTCAGCATTGAATTGCAAAACGTTGAAGAAAATTGGTGGCAGAGCTCTACAGTTACACGCATTCGCGCTAAAGACGAGGCCAAATATATTAGTTATGATTAGGTCAGGCCGGCCTACAGTTGCAAAAACGTATTTATAGCCACATTTTGGGAGCAAGGGACGACAATACGCAGGGAAATGTGACTCGCAGACGTTAAAAGCACTGGGCAAAAATGACAAGTACCTCCAACCGAAACGCGCTTGGTGAGATAAACGAATAAATGGGTGTACTAGCGGTGAACCAAGCTCCATTGGTATTTTTTGGTCCAGCTGGCTCCACCATTAGCGATCATGCAAGATTTGTCATGAAATAGGAAGCAACTGTGTCCACGTTCGACACGGCGTTCCAAGCTTGGTCCGGTTCGGACAAGAGCAGTTGTCTCGCCTACTATTCCGCTACATCCAACCCAACCAGGTTGTTCCGTTTCTTGCCCCTCGCCTGTGCACCCGGAAATGTTTAGGATCAGAAACTTTGACCAATCGGTCCCCCCACAATACAGGAGCACCCAGAAGAACACGCCATACTGCAGTCCCCATCACCGAAGTTTGAAGTCCTGACTATCCAACAATAGCAGTGCAGAACCCAATGGTTCTGAGAACTTCACGATTTACCGTGTAATTATGTGTTATTTTCACTGTGTATTGTGTACAGCGGTCGCGGAAACTTCCTTGTTTTGTGTTTCAGGGGGCTCAAATCAAAGACACAATACCTCGAAAACGACAACGACGTCAGGCGTGAAGAACAAGCCTCAAATCTGGCAGCAATATTGTAGGGGAAATCAGATGGAACAAATGGCACAGGTGGAACAAATTGTTCCAAAATGCCACAACGTTCATTATAGTACAGAGGAAACCCATTACAATCACTCTACCTTTCGCTCTTGGCTGAGATCACTTATCAAACTGCATATAAAGTTTCACATTTCCAGAATATACAAGAGGTGATAGACAGACACCCCTTGGTGCATATGCAACTATAGGTGTCTTTATCTGCAGGGGCAAAGTATATGATGCCATAAACGCAAATCCATGTGTCATAAAGACAAATACCTTGGGAAACATGAAATACGGTAGCTTAATTATGCAACTTCTTGCACATATCAGAAAAATAACCCCCACTCCCATCCACTACTCCCCGTTTTCCCCATTTCAACCCCTCGTCCCCCACACTCCCCTCCCCCATATACACTTGTTGACGAATAAAAATCGAAAGAATGCCTCATAAAAGGCAAGAAAACATAATACACGTTACTAGTTACGCCTGACACTTATTCCCTGTGCTCCCCATTATCCATCAAGAACCTCTCTAGCGCATCTATTGTGTATGTTGCAGCACCAGGGGCGCTTGCCACCATCTGCTCAAAGTCCCCATCTTCTGTATACGAGAACCCACTTGTATCAGTGGCCTGCCCCCCAACCTCTAAGCCTGCACATGTTGCTCCCAAATGCACAACGTTGGGGACAGCAGGAGCATGATTCTCGAAACTATGATAGGATGCTCCCTCGATGCGAGAACCTGGGGAGGTCAAGGCCCATGGAGAGAATGCAGAGTGTTCAGCAGCTCTGAGGAGCAACAACTGATCTGCTGAGGGGTGAGGCAGAGGAAGGCTCAAGTCCGTCATGATATGCTGCTGGAAACCCAGTTGTTCATAACGAGGCTGGACACTCGGCTGAGCGACAAGCAGATGGTCAGCGCTAGGCTGCGCAGCAGCACGAGCATCATACGCTGGCCTGAGGCCCTCTGTTGCAGTTTCCTCCATCACAACATCTTCTCCACTGCTCCCAGCACCACCAGTCTCGTAGCTATTGATTTTCTTAGAAGCATCATGCTCCAAGCCATCAACACCGCACTTCTCTGTGTTGCTGAATCCACGCAAGCTGGCCGTACCATCAAAGGTGGTGGGTGGATTGGTGTGGGAAGGAGGGACACGGTGCAAGTGGGGAGCTGCAACTTCAACTCCAGCTCCACCAGTGGCATTTAAAGCATCACCACCAGCAGCTGTGGCAGTGGCAGCAGCAGCACCACCACCACCACCACCACCAGCAATGCCAGCAGCAGCACCAGCAGCAGTGGCAGCAGCAGCACCGACAGCAGCGCTGACAGTAGAAGTCACAGCAGAAGAGGTCAGAGAAGCTGCTGCTATGGGGGGATTGGAGCGGAAGGGCAGATGATGCTGGAAGCGAGTGAGCTGCTCCTGATGCTGCTGCACCAGCTGCAGCTGCTCTTGCTGGTGCACTGACTGCAAATGCTGCGGAAGAATTGGAATTGACTGCTGCTGCTTCGACCACTCTTCCTGCCACTGCTGCTGCCTTGGCTCCTGGTGCTGCTGCTGCTGCTGCTGCCGCTGCTGCTGCTGCCACTGCTGCTGCGCCATCTGTCTTTCATACAGCAACAAACTCTGCTGCCCCTCCAGCCATCCATGCTGCAGCATCCCTTCTCCGGACCCCTCAGCGGGTATCCAAGGCCGCTTCTCCGGTCGTTTGTGCAGCTCTTGAGCATACTTGCTGACTGGAAATCTTGGCTGGAATGTTGATGCACGCAGCAGTTGCCTGTCCAGCTGTCCTGCTCCCAGTGGTCCCTGGTCATGGGACTGTGATCGTCTCGCCCTGTGCGGAGGGAGAGTCGCTTTTGGTTTGGGAGAGCAGGCTGGGGAGGATTCCAGACCAGACACACCAGCGGCAGCAGCAACACCAAAAACACCAGCACCACCAGCAACACCAGCCTCGCCATCCACAACTTTAACAGGTGCAACAGCAGCAGCGCCATCAGCAGCACTGGCAGCAACATTTACTGCAGTATCCGAGCCGTTCCCGCTTCCAACATTGGCAGATGCAGCAGCTACAACATCCATTGGACCAACAACACCCATGCCACCCACACCACCTGTAGTGGCCATAGATGGCTGGGGCTCAGGGGTTGTTGAACTGATGACAGGTGGCTCCATGGGAAAAGGGACACTGTAGCTTCGAGATGTCGGAGGTACAGGTTCGGATTGAGGATTTGAGCGAGGCTTGGGTTGAGGCTCGGACCAGGGAGGGCAGGAACGCTTGTCGGTTCTTTCTGATTCTGGGGTGTGGCTCCTGAACGACTGCTGCTCCTCCCAGTCTTCAATGGGAAAACCTTCACGTGCGAGGTCTGCAGAAGCACACCGCGCAGCTGCCTTGTCCTTCCTGCCAGTCGTAATATTGAAAGAGTTTCGTCTTGGGAAGCTCTGTTTAAGCTGTTGCTGCTGCTGCTGCCGTTGGTGTTGCTGCTGCCACTGTTTCTGCCCCTCCTGCTGTCCCTGCCGTTGGTGCAGCTGCTGCTGCCCCTGCTGCTGCCACTGTGTCTGTGAATACAGCTGCCCCTGCTGAAGCTCCTGTTCCTCCTGCTGCTGCTGCCCCTGCTTCTGCCACTGTTGTTCCCCAATCTCTTGCCCCTGCTGTTGCTCCTGTCCTTGTTTCCACTGGTTCTGATGTTGCTGCTGCTGCTGCTGCTGCTGCTGCTGCTGCTGCTGCTGCTGCTGCTGCTGCTGCTGCTGGTGGTTCTGGTGATGCCGAGGCACGTGCAGAATCACATCAACTGAAGATCTGCGGGACATGGTGAAAGCATACCGCATGCCATGGTCATTCCTCTGAAGCGGCCCAAACGGGGGCACCATGGCAGGCGCATGCTGCATCATTTCATCATGCCAACTTGGAAGCATGCTTGGAGCTGAGGTCACCATGCGGTTGTTTACCTCCACTTCCTCCTCTACTTCTTGCAGTGAATATTGCTCACTATGCGTCATCACACCCCCAGCCACTTCCATGCTGAAACCCCATGAAACCGCTTGTGGCTCGCTTGACGCCCGTGTAACCAAGTATGCTGGGACTGGCATCCCTGCTGTTTTCTCCCAAGCCAGCACACGTTGGCCTGCTGCCAACGCTTGATCCCCAATCACTGCATGTTGCCCTGCTCTTTGCTGCCAGGACAACGCATGTTGCCCTGCCTGTCCCCCTGTCAGTGCGTGCTGCGCTGCAGCCAAAGCCTGCTGCCTGTCTGCCAGTTCTGAGGGCCATACTTCATGACCGGAAGGACCCACTGCTGCTGCACCTACCACCACACCTGCCCCTCGGCACCGTTGACCCTGTTGACCCTGTTGACCCCGTTGACCCCATTGTGCCGGTTGTCCCTGCTGGCCCTGTTGACCCCATTGACCCTGTTGACCAGGCTGGTGCAATTGGGAGGAGGATGGACCCAATGCTGCAGACGTGGCTCCTTGTGCAGACATGCTTGTCACTGGCATGGTCGGCTGGCTTGGCTGCGTTGCCGTCATGTAGATACCATTACCATTCTCGCCCGCAGAGATAGTGTAGCCTCCCTGCTGCATCTCCATCCCTACGCCTCTCTGCTTCGGCAATCCTTGATTCGGACGATTGCTGTCGTGAGCTGCATCCTTGGTGCAAGGCAGTCGGTAGTGCTGATCAGATGCCACATCTATCGGGATGGCGGCTCCCGCTCCCACCATCAGTTTCACCCCACTATCATGGGAAACAAGGCCAGCCAAATGCTCATCCATTCCCATCTTCGCCTCCATCGCACCGTCCTCCTCCATCACCCCTTCCCCGTCACTAGTTTCTCGGCTCCCACTGCTTTCTTCCCCTGGAGACGCCTCCCATTCTTCCACTGCCTCCTTGCCTTTCGCAGTACCAACCCCACTCCCTCCAACCCCTTTGGTTTCTTCAATCCCCCCCAGCTGCTGAGCAAACTGCTCCGCAAGTTCAGAGAACAACTCCCTCTCTCCTTCCGTCAAGCCCTCAAATCCCACCTCCTCCAATCCCAGCCCACCAAACCGTTCCAGATCTGCTCCCAGTGCAGTGAATCCCTGCATCCCCTGTCCAGTTACTATAGCACTTGGCAGCTTCTCCGGATGAAATATGTGCCGATTCATCGCAGCGCTTCTAAACGTTGGGTTGCCGGTGGTGGGAGCAGCTTCTGGGGCTGAGATATCAGCAAATGTGGATTGCAGGGCATGGACAGTGGCGGAGGAGGCAGAGGCAGAATTGGCAGAGGTGGAAGGGGCGGAGGAGGAGGAAGGGGCGGCTAAGCTCGAGCTACTACCGCTTACAGTGGATCTCCCTTCTGCAATGTATCCTCCTCCACCTTTGCTCCCGTTACCACTGCCTGCTGACGTTTCTGCTGCAAAGCCTACTACTCCTTCTCTTCCTACACCTCTTCCTACACCTCCTCCTCCTCCTCCTCCTCCTTCTCCTCCTCCTCCTCCTCCTCCTCCTCCTCCTCCTCCTCCTCCTCCTCCTCCTACACCTCCTCCTACACCTCCTCCTACACCTCCTCCTACACCTCCTCCTACACCTCCTCCTACACCTCCTCCTACACCTCCTCCTACACCTCCTCCTCCTCCTCCTCCTCCTCCTCCTCCTCCTCCTCCTCCTCCTCCTCCTCCTCCTCCTCCTCCTCCTACACCTCCTCCTACACCTCCTCCTACACCTCCTCCTACACCTCCTCCTACACCTCCTCCTACACCTCCTCCTACACCTCCTCCTACACCTCCTCCTCCTCCTCCTCCTCCTCCTCCTCCTCCTCCTCCTCCTCCTCCTCCTCCTCCTCCTCCTCCTCCTCCTCCACATCCTCCTCCTGCACCCCCCCTTCTTCCTCTTCCTCGTCCTCCCCGTCCCATACCTGCAGCTGATACTAATGATGTTCCTATAACCCCTGATTCTGCTCCTGTTTTCTTTGTAAATGCTGTCCCACCTGTTCCCACTGCAGACAACCTTTGAGGCGCCCCGATGTTCGCTGCTACCAACCCCCTCCTCGTTCCCTCTCCAAACGACGTTTGAGGCACAGAAAATGTCACTGCTTCTTCCTTGATTTTTCCCTCTCTCTGCTGTGAAGTCTGACCCACAAGCTCTCCCATCAATCCCACGTCCACCGAGTCTTCACTGTATCCTACCTCCTTCCCTTTCCCTTCCCCGCTCCTAGTACTACTGCTCTCCCTATCCTGCCTTACTGCACCAAGTTGCTGCTCTCCCAAAACCATTCCTCCACCATCCACCCCTGCATCCCCTTCTGCTGCTTCCATCCTAGCCGTTGCTCCTACTATTGCTACAGGATTTGGGCCTACTACCCCTCCCCTTTTCTGAATATGCTTCCTTGGGAAGTTGAGCTTCGCCTTTGATCCTCGAATATTCAAAGCAGCTTCATCAAACGCGCGAGCGGCCTCCTCTGCGGAACGGAACGTGCCCAGCCACCTGCGGACCCCTTTCTTGGTGTCTTTGATCTCTGCAACGTAACGAAATTCCCCGCGCTTTCTTACCCCCCGGTACTGCCCTGGCTGGTTGTAGTTGTGACTGCGCGGCATTCTGGTGCGTCTGGGTAAACACCCTGGTGGCCCTGATGGCCCTGATTGCTTCGATGCCCCTATTGGCCCTGATGGCTCTGATGGCTCTGTTTTCCCTGCACCAGCGGCAGCCTCACCTTGTTCTAGGACTTGCAACAAGTGCGGCTGTAGCAGCGGCTGTAGCTGATAGGAGAGCTGCTGGATCCGGTGTGGTGGTAGCTGCTCTGGCTGAGCCTGTTGCTGAGCCTGTAGCTGAGCATGTAACTGCGGCTGTAGCTGAGCCTGTATCTGTGCCTGTAGCTGTGGCTGTAGCTGAGACTGTAGCTGAGCTTGTAGCTGAGACTGTATCTGTGGCTGTAGTTGAGCCTGTACCTGTGGCTGAGCCTTTACCTGTTGCTGTGGCTTAGCCTGTAGCTGAGACTGTAGCTGAGCCTCAGGCTGTAGCTGTGGCTGTGGCTGTGGCAGTTGTGGCAGCGCAGAATAGGCCCGTGCTGCAAGCTGCTGTGACATGTGCAGCTGCAGCATCTGTTGTTGCATCTGCTGCTGTGATATCTGCAGCTGCAGCATCATTTGTTGCATCTGCTGTTGATCCATCTGCTGATCTTGCATCTGCTGCTGTGGCATCTGCTGCTGTGGCATCTGCTGCTGTGGCATCTGCTGCTGGCGTGCCTGTTGTTGCATCTGCTCTGGTTGCATGATCTGCTGCTGCTGCATCCGCTACTCTGGAATCTGCTGGTCCGGAATGGCGTCTGCTGCTCTGTCACCTAATCGCTCAGCCAGCAGAACGCTACCGTTGCAGATGCTACTGGAGGACTGAGGCTAAAAAAAAATCAAAAGGTCTCCAGGAGGGAGAGTAGAATTGTCACTCCCTGCTGTCCCTGCTAGTAGCAGCTGAGAGTCTCAAGCGGAATGAATGGACTTAATTCAGGATGGCAATTGCAGGTCTGAACTAGTACTAGTGGCGCCACTGGCAATTCGCCGAACAGTTCCACTGGCAGTTGCCAACACTGGCAGCGATCCAGGACAGGACTTAGCCTAAGTAATACTATTACTAGACATGGGGTGCTTCGTGGCAAGCTAGCTAGCTATAGCTACTGTAGTGAATGAGCTAGCTACTGCTGGTACTAGACTTGGGAGACTGAATCAGTGGCTACACATTCTGTCTTTTGCTCCACTTCAAAATGGGCTCTTGGTTATGTGGGCTTCTGGTTGACCAGTAGGAAATATCTTCGGCTGGGCAAGGGGCCGGTCTCTCCCATTGGTTCGATTCTGCACTGTACTTTTGCCCTCCCCGTGACGCGCACGGTTCAGGGTTTCAGAGGTACAGTGCTGGACACTCCCATTTCACTTCCCCGTCACGCGGAAGGCTTAGGGTTTCAAAAATTGGTTGTACAGTAAAAGATAAATCATTTTACAGTGTAGGACAAACCTCGCCGGGATGTGCTAACGGCGAAGGGCTTGGTGTGGCTCCTACAGTGTATTCTCATTGGTTGGATTTTGCGTGATTCGCGTTGGGCATTTGCGTGATTGGCGCTGGGCCTGGTTGACCTTCGCGTCATTCGCGCGTTGCACTTGGAATGGCTCAGTTGCATACGTGGCGAGCGATCCAGGGAGTTCGGAAAGTCGCACACTTGCTTGAAACCGCGGAGGATGTAGACTTTGAATAAGTCGATCACAGTTGTGCGGTGACGTGGAAGGTAACCGTTCTTACACACAAACGCCACCACCAAGCGCGCATTCACCTCAAACCGGAATTGTAACATCTTACGAGACTTCTCGTTATGTGCATATTGCACATTCGCCTTGTGAATGGACATACCCATTTAGGTTTTCAAATACATTTAGCAAGGGACCATGACATATGAGGACCCGATTACAGAGCCGTTCGATGCAGATACATTCATTTCCAGTTCATTCAATCAGGAAAATATCAATCTGTAACACATACGCATCTACACCTTAGGGCGTGTTCCTACGGCCCCATATCAGGAAACCTTGTATCAATAATGTACTTTTTGCCAGGTAAAACTAGCGAGGATTTTGGGTTTATGGGAATTTTCAGAATGAGCCTGATACGAGGTTCCCTTGATGCGAGGTGTAGGAACACGCTATTACTATTCTGGCTAGCAATGTGAGTGTGGGCCATTGTTGAATTTATGTTCATGTGTAAATGCATGCTAGAATAGTAGTATTATTAAGTTTCTCTGTTGGTGGTGTACCCCCTTTCCCCACCTTCCCTTGCATATATATCTTGTACTGTTGTTAGTGGATCCCCTCTTCCCTCTCGAAACCCTCTCGCCACCCACGTTTCCTACTCTAGCCATGAATACTAAGGCTAAGGCTACTTCATCAGCCATGACAACTCACTACAATCTCTACTGTGCTCGTTCAGCCAGTCGTTGCTCCTCACTGTCAAATCCTCCTCCTCCTCCTCCTCCTCCTCCTCCTCCTCCTCCTCCTCCTCCTCCTCCTCCTCCTCCTCCTCCTCCTCCTCCTCCTCCTCCTCCTCCTCCTCCTCCTCCTCCTCCTCCTCCTCCACCGCTATTCCGTCTCCTCTGCCCCTCCTGTAATTCGTCCTTTCCTATTTAAAAGCTGGGGTGATAGGATGATAATGGACTGGCTGGATAAGGTCATGATAATATGATGTCATGGGTCACATGGCATGATTGCCCCATCATATGCATTGACATGTTGGGACACTGCCAGCATGCAAGTGTTGGAGCAGCTTGGCATGGATGAGTCATGGTACACCAGATGCAGTCCCATTCACCCACTCCACTTACCAAGAACAACAGATGGTCACTTTGTGCACTCTCGCGTGGCCATCACTCTCTTTGTTGTCATTTCCTATATGTGCCCGCGCGCGCGCACACACACACACACACGCACCACACACATGCACACACACATATACACGCACACATACACACCATACATACATATATGCATACATACATACACACACAAACACGCACACACATATATACACATACATACACACACACACACACACACACACACACACACACACACACACACACACACACACACACACACACACACACACAAAAACATGAGCACGCTTAACAAACAAACAAATATATGCCTACCGAATATAAATAGGAGCTAAATACATGAAGATCAACTTTGTCCTTATTCCCTAGGGTCCCCATTATCCATCAAGAACCTCTCGAGTGCATCAATGGTGTAGGTCCCAGCACCAGGGGTAGGCGATGCTTCATGCTCAAATTCCCCTGTATACAACTCTCCTGCATCAATCCCATGTCCCCCAACCTCAAAACCTACTCGGTTGACTCCCAACTGCTCCACTAAGGGGACCGAATTGACATGATTCTCGAAGCTGTGACAGGCTGCACCGTGGATGTGAGAAGATGAAGAGGTGAGGCCCCAGGCAGCAAGTGAAGAGTGTTCCGTGTCCCTCAGGAGCAACAGGTTGGCTGAGGGGTGAGGATGAGAAAGCTGACCAGCAGTAGGCTGGTCAGTATCACGAGCATTGTATGCAGGCCTGAAGTCCTCTTTTGCAGGTTCTTGCATTTCTACATCTCCACCACTGCTACCAGGGTTAAGGGTTCCACCACCTGTCCCGTAGCTGCTGGTTCCCTTTGAGGCATCTTGCTCCAGGGAGATCCCTGTAAGGGAAGGTGGGAGACGGTGTGGGTGGGGAACTGCAACACCAGCACCAGCTCTGGCAGCAGTGACAGAAGCAACATCACCAGCGCCAGTGGCAGCAGCAGCGCCAGTAGCAGTGCCAGCAGAAGCGCCAGAAGCAACGTCACCAGAAACCCCTGCCGTAGAGGTCAGAGCAGAGGAGGTGAGAGCAGCAGGTTTCATGGGGGGAGTGAACTGACTGCGGAAGGGCAAATGATGATGGAAGAGAGGGAGCTGCTCTTGATGCTGCTGCAGCAGTTCCAGCTCCTCTTGCTGGTGCACCGACTGCAATTGCTGCTGCTGAATTGAATTCGACAGCTTCTGCTGCTGCTGCTGCTGCTGCTGCTGCTGCTGCTGCTGCTGCTGCTGCTGCTGCTGCTGCTGCTGTGCCATCCAATTATCATCCAAAGACGACCCCTGCTGCCTCTCCAACCGTCCATGCTGCAACACCTCTCGTCCGTACCTCCTGGCCGGTAACCAAGGCGGCTTCTTGATCGTTCTTTGGAGCTCTTGAACATACTTGCTGGCCGGAACTATCGGCTGGAATGTTGACGTGCGCAAGAGTTGCCCGCCCAGCTGTCCAGCTCCCATTGGTCTCTGATCATGGGACTGTGATCGCCTCACCCTGTGCACAGGGATAGTTGAATTCGGCTCAAAAGAGGTGGCTGGGGAGGGTGCCAACGCCGACACATCAGGACGAGCAGCAACACCAGAGACACCAGCCACACCAGCAACAGGTGCAACACCAGCAGCGCCACCAGCAACACCGGCAGCACTGGTAGTATTCAAGCCATTCCCACTAGCCACATTGGTGCCAGCATCAGCAGCAGGGACACCATCCAATGGACCGACACCAACCACACCACCAGCAATGCCAGCACCACTAGCACCGCTCCCACCACCCACACCACCTATGTTGCCCACACATGGCAGGGTATCAGGGGCTGAAGTACTGATGACAGGTGGCTCCAAGGGGAAAGATACAGTGTAGCTCCGAGGCACCAGAGGTGCAGGTTTGGAACGATGCTTGAAATGAGTCTTGGGCTGAGGTTCAGACCAAGGAGGGCTGGAAAGCTTGGAGATCGGGGCGCCTTTTTCCAAGTCTGGGGTGTGGCTTCTAAATGCCTGCTGCTCTATCCACTCTTCTACGGGTAACGCTTCACATATGAGGTCTACAGCTGCCTTGCCCCTACTTCCAGCCTTCAGATTGAGAGAGCTGCGTCGCGAGAAGCTCGATGCATGCTGCTGCTGCCGGCGCTGCTGCCACTGCGTCAGCGCCTGCTGTTGGTCCTGTCCCTGCGGCTGCCCCTGTCCCTCATTCTCCTGCTGCCGCTGCTGCTGCTGCCACTGTT